GCACTCTCTAGTCGTTCTTGTCTCATCTAACAAGACAATGGCAAAATTTCCTTTATCAATATGTCTAATGTTTATACTAGTCGTATCAAGTACCATATATGAAGCGCAAGGGAGCTTTTTATTAAGGCATTATATGAGAAAATTTCCCAGAGACTCCAAGGACTTTGAACCATTCGCTTTCAAGGGTATGCTTAGTTTTGTGGACAATCTTGAGAGTATGTGTCCCCTGAAGGGAGAGTACAGGAGTTCTTTACAAAGCTGAAGGCTTTCATGGCTTTCGTAAACTCGGCATCAGGGTCGTCATCAGAATTTCATTCTCAATTGAAAGCACAATCTGAAGAGCTCTTCAAGGCTATCTCTGCATTGGGTAGCAAAGGGGGATCATCGGTAAAATTTTAATTTAATTATTAACACGGTGACCTAAATATTTTGAATTTTAATTTAATTCAAAATTCTCACAATATTTTGAGTTGAAAATATTTTTTTCTTGGCTGTGTAATAGGCTGATACGAGCAAATTGGTCGAAAGTTTGATGTCTATGGGAAAAACTTTGGCCGAGTATAAAAGAAGTGGTTCACAAACGATGACAAGTGAGCAAAGAATAGAGCTAGTCAAATCTATGGCAAAATGGGCACAAATGATTGGTCAATTTGTAAAAAACGTCGGCGAGAAGAGTGGTGATGGTGCAAATATTGATCTTGCATCTCTCCTCGGAGGCACCAATGCTGACAGTGCTGGAATTGGAGGTGGAAGCTCTTCCTCCGCCGAAAATGGAGGCACTGGTGGCAGTGGAAGTCCAAGCGTCGACAATAGTTCCCCTTTAGCCGGAGGTGGTAGCCCAACCTCAAGTAGCAGTTCCCCTATAGCCGGAGGTGGTAGCCCAACCTCAAGTAGCAGTTCCCCTTTCCCTGAAGCTGGAACTCCAACTGACAGTGGAAGCTCACCAAGCAGCCCCACCTCCACCGGAGATGCAATGCCCAATGGTGGAACCCCGAGTGGAAGTCCGAGTGAAAGTCCGAGTGGCCAAGGAGCAAGTTCCATGGGTGGTGGAACCGGAAATACAGCTGATGCTAGTAATGGAAGCCCAAGTAGTGGAACCCCTACCGCTGGAGATGGAATGCCTAGTGGTGAAACCCCGAGTGGAAGTCCGAGTGATGCCTCCGGCCAAGGAGTAAGTTCCATGGGTGGTGGAAGTAGTGGTCAAACCGGAAATACAGATGATGCTGATAATGGAAGCCCAAGTAGTGGAACCCCTACCGCTAGTCCGAGTGGAAGTACAAGTGATAACTCCAACTCTGGCGGTGGAAGCACTGATGAAACCGAAAATTCAGCTAATGTTAGTAGTGGAACCGCAAATGGTGAAACCCCTGCGACAGGTCCGAGTGGAAGCCCAAGTGGTAGCTCTAGCTCGGGACAAAGTGCTAATGCTGCAGCCGAAAGTACGACTAGTGCCAATGCTGAAAGCGCAAATGGTGAAACCTCTGCCTTAAATGAAAGTTCCATGGGTGGTGGAAGCTCTACTGAAAAATCTGAAAGCGCAAGAGGTGAAACCTCTGGTAGTGGATCTGCCTTAAATGAAAGTTCCAAATCTGAAAGTAATGAAAGCGCTAGTGGTGGAAGCCAAGCTTACGCTAGTGGAAAAACCTACCTAGATTCTACAGGTGGAACCACCGGTGAAAGTCCTGCCAGCAGCCCTTCTGGTTCAGCTTTTGCTGGTGGTGAGAGCTCCATGAGTGGAAGTACAACGGATGTCTCTGCCGCTGGAGAAGGTTCGGGATCTGCTAACTATGAAGGTTCTGTCAGCTATCAAAAGTCACACTCAAAATCCTCAGGCAAAAGGACCTACACTCATTCTTCAGAGGAGAAAAAATCTGAAAACATGGAAGCCGTCGACTCGTAGATTCCAAACCTAGAGGTCATTAACATATTATAATAAACAAGCGGCCCTGCTTGATCATAGTAGCGAGCTGTAGAGTGTGTTTTGCTTATTTCCTAAATACTTTTAATACTAGAGAATTACAGTCATGTGATTACTGCATGCATAATTTTGGCTTTTTCTTCTTTTTTCTGTAATATGAGAATACAAAAGTTATGAATACATATCTGATATATTAAATTTTGAAAATGATAATAATGCGAATAATAAATGATATACCTTTTTTGTGCAACTATAAACGATATACATTATTTCAAATTCCTTTTTTATTATCTATTTTTCTGTAACCTTTTTTGTTTTAATTGAATTTCAAATCTATTAAATCTAATAGATGTTATTTAAATGAAAGAATAGAACTGAACCCAAAAAAAAAAACTGAACCAAAAGTTGAACCAGAGCAAGTGCAACGGTGATACACACAAGTTAACAGTGTGGAAAATCAATGTCGCAAGTCCGAAGGGGCCTTACATCGAAATATCATGGAGAAGGCCCCTCTAGCATACGTTCCCCATGGTAACAAAGTGAAACAATCCTACTGCGAATGGTTTTTCTATATGATCTATAAGGTGTGAGTTTGGGATCCAACTTGTGTGATGCTTTCTTGCTTTTTGCTCTTTCTACACATAGTAGATAGCGGTTTGAAAACACATTCGGAGAAGAATGAGATCATATCTATATGTCGCAATGCTCGAGAAAGATGAGAGAATATCGTCCCAACCTGGAGTGACTTCTGAGTCTTTGAATTATCAACACAGATATGACCAGAGAGTGAATGTATATCGGCAAGAAAAAAATAAAAGCTCCCTAGATTCACTCCTTTCACCACAAAAGACACAACATTGTTCAATCCCCCACCTTTTTCTCCTCACACCCATTGTTAGCCGGTGATGGAGAGCTAGCCGCACGATGAATGAGAAGCAGAGAACACCTCTCGAGCGAACCATATTATATATGCGACACCAAGAAAATTTAATTCCTCATGTGAGTAGATTAGAAATGTTCCTTGTACTAACCCACATCATGTCTCCATGAAGTCCTCGTATCATCCAATTGTTACCATCCGCAGCCTCTGAGATTGCTGCATAGCAAGAGATCCCCAAGAGACGGGTACTTGCATCACTTGTGCGAGATTGAGCCAATCTTCAAACCAAAAGTGAACAAATTTACCATCTTGTATATTAAATCTCATAAATTATATTGCCAATGTTTTGAGTTTTAGTAGTTTGCGCCACATCCATGAACTTTTTGTGCTCTCCTTGACATCCCAAAATGAGTTGCACCAAAGCATATAGTGATGGATCCAGGATACCCATAACGACCTTGATAGTGTGAATAAACATCCAATAAGTTGTGCAAGGACTTAAGATGAATCTCAAATTCGTCTAAAACCCAAACGCATTCCCCCCCCCCCCCCCACACACAAAAAAACTACACATACTCTCAATGGTTTCAAAACAACACTTTTGAAAGCCAGAAAGCAGAACACCAAAAGTTTGTTATACTATAAATTACTTATTAGATTAGTTGCAATCTTCTCGCTAACAACAACTTCCTATTTGTCGAAGACAAGATGCGATTCTGGATTTGTTAATGACTGGCTCATGACAAGATGCGATTCTGGATTTGTTAATGACTGGCTCATAGTCAACTCGAATCATTGATTTTGAATTAAGAGGAGGTCCAAGATATCGTAGTTTACTGGCCTATCGATGTTTCAAAACATCAGCCCCAACAACAAATATTGTTGACCTCAATGGATATATTCAGTGTAGAAATGCGAGCAAACAGACAAGCATATCAAAGTTTTTGAAACACAAATACATATCCTCTACTAAAATAAACACTAAAAATTTGTATTTATAAGACCGTAAACTGGTGACCAAGTTTTTGGACATATACGTAATTTTGTATTTTTGAGTAATAAACCGTATCTTTGAAAATTATGATATTAATTCAATGTATTTTATTAATTAACTGCTATATATCATAATTATTTAACAAAGTTTGTAGAAATGACTATATTAAATATTTTAAAAATATTCTATTAAATGTTTTAAAAATATTCTATTTATCGAAAACTATTATTGGTCCTATAATGAATATGGCTGTTTTGATTGAAAACAAATTAGAATTTTGCTAATTTTAATTATTTTACGGATGGAGTACATTTGTATTCAAAATAATCACATAATTCAACGGTCTTGGATTCCTTATAATAATTCTCGCAATAAGCATAATTGATTTTTTAACTAAAACTATTACTTTTATTTAATAATTATATTATCCCGCGTATAACTTGGATAATTATCTAGATTATTTTGAACCATTAAAAACGAAAGTTTATTTTCTAGTCAGAAGCTTTGTCCACCAATGGAAAGTTTTCCGATCCGATATTTTGGATGTTTTTGTTTTCTTGATTCTTGGTAAGCCAGTAAACGTGCTCCAGAATTTCATAATGAACACAAACTTAGCGAATACATGAAGATGATC